TGGCTCTCGGGCAGGTGATGCCAGGTTAACTTTTTCTGCTGGACACCATAATGGCTCAAGCTTGGTACTTGGCCTTGATGGACTATGGAAGAGATCAGGCATAAAACCCTGGAGATATTCCCTAGCTCCAGAGGATCAAGGGATTGCGGTGAAGGACAATGCTGGTTCATGAAACAAAAGAAAGCATCTCAGAAATGCAGGAGTTTCATCTCCTGCAGCAAAGCTGAGAAGTGTGAGGAGGCTGCAGAGTTCTCTAGTTTGGCCATGTTATGGGGGAGGTAAACAGGCTGCTGTCCGGTGCCCTCCACACACGGGCAGTTGAAGCCGGGGACTCATGCCTGAACACCCTGAGCCACACCTCAGCATGTGTGATAGATACAATTCTTTCTCTTCTGTCACGTCACAGGCACGAGGAAGATATAGTAAAATAAACAAGAAGTGATGGGATCTGAATGCTACCTTTTCTCTTACTATTGTTCAACTGGAGGTCATGGGAGAATGCGGCAGCCGGCTATAAGCCAGCGTGAGGGCGTCACTTTCACTCCTTACACCAATGCTTTCAAATAAAGAAAATGAAAAAAAAAATACTTGATATATATCATGAGTTCTCGGGGTGAAATCTATGAAAGCCTCTTCCTCTTGTTCATTTTCTTCAGTGTTGGGGATGGAGTCCAGGGCCTTCCTGGTACCCACCAGGCTCCACTCTACGGCTGAGTTACACTCCAGCCCTCTTGTCGTCACATGATGGGAAGGTGGACATTAGATCACAAGGGAGACTGGAGGGGACAGTCTGAACTGTATGTAGGGAGAAGCAGCCCACTGAGGGTGAATGTCTGGAAACAGGACATCAGAGTGGTAAGTCGCAAGACACAGAAATGGGACCTAAATCCCTGCCCATGGGCTTATAATAAAGGCTCAAACCAAGCTTTATTACAAAACTAACTCTCTCTGTCTCTGTCTCTCTCTCGTGCGTGTGTGTGTGTGTGTGTGTGTGTGTGTGTGTGTGTGTGTGAGTTACACACGTTGTGTCGAAGCACTCATCCATGTGGCCCTGAGGTTGACAACAAGATACCATCCACAACCCTCCACCCTTGGGATTCGTCTGTTTCTGTCCTGTGCCCAGTGTAGCCATATCAGCACACACAGCCATACCTGATTCTGCTATGGGAGTTGGGAATCTGAACCCAGGTTCTCGTGCTTGAGCAGCAAGTGCTGATCAACTGAGCCATCACCCCAGCTCCACCACACAGGTTTTTAATTCCAACATCCAGGGCTGGAGAAATGGCTCAGTGGCCAAAAGTATGTATTATTCTTCTAGAAGACCCAAGTTTGATTCCAAGAACCCATGTCAGGCTGCTTACTGTAACTACAGCTCCGAGCAATCAAACACCTTTGGCCTCTGTGGGAATGCACACACACACACACACACACACACACACACACACACACACACACGCACACACACACTTAAAAATTACAAAAATAAATTCTTAAAAAATAGTTCCAACATTCAATCATAATCGCCTACTATAGACTATGTACTAAAAATGGAGGCTAATAACTCAGCTAAAAACAACCACAAAGTACTATTAAAGAAAAGTGTACAAAACTGATTATCTCAGTATACAATCATTATCTTCAACTTTTCCCTGTGGAAAGGCTTCCACATCAAAGGGAAAAAAAGCATCCCTTCTTCTCCTGGGACCCCAAAATGTTACACCTGTGTTCTCAAGAGGCAAATGCCTCCCAGAATCTCTCTTCACAAGATGCACCACAAGTGGCAGCCACAGCAAGTTCTTATCAAGGGCGTCCAGTTCTCAGCCTAGTGCCATGTAACTTCCCAGTTTCCTAATTTCCCAAAGAAATGCATTTTGAGAAGAGGCACACAGGTGAGCAGCTGGAGGGAACCCCTCAAAGCATCAGAACTTGCCAGGTACCACGGTCTGAGCCAACTGCAGGCATGTTAAAGTAGGCACAAAAAGCTTCAACATAACTGGGGGACACCACTGCCATTTTACCTGGCAGTGATTTGCTTCTTGAGCCAAATCAACTTCTGTTTTAATCTGCTCGGCATACGTACTCAGAAACCTTGTGATCCTGGCCTCTATAAACGGAACTTGGCTATCACTGAAAACCTCCTGGCCTGGGAGGAGTTACAAAGATGAGCCGAGCTCCCAGGGAATCTCAGTGACACCTGGAAGGAGGGCCCTATGAATAACAGTCACAAAGCTATTCTAGGACAGACCCTTAGACAAGTGAAAGCAATGTTCGTGAGTGCCGTACTCTGAGAAATGTCTCCCCCTCTCTTCGTTCAACTGAAAAACAGAAGGACTGTGAGGAAAGACACCCCTACAGTGTCCGCTCTATCTTGTTAATGAACTTCTCCTGCCCTCCAGACTGGGCTGTGCCAGTCTGTGCTGTCTTCAGGATTTGGACAGAGACCTGACAACGAGGCCAGACATGTTTGCACCCATGCACACAGACGCACACTTGTGTTGGTTTCGTTGTGTTGCTATGACAAAATACCATGACAAAGGCAACTCTGTCGAGAAAAGGTTTTATTGGCTTTCAATTGCAGGTCACAGTGCATGATTGAGTGGAAGCCAAGGCAGGGATCACATCCATGGTCGAGAGCAAAGAGTGAATTCTCTCTCTCTCTCTCTCTCTCTCTCTCTCTCTCTCTCTCTCTCTCTCTCTCTCTCTCTCTAATGGCTGCCAGCTTCATAGTTGGCCCTCCAGATGAAGCAACCCAAGTTCAGTCCCTAGGACAGGGGAGCAAACAGTACAGCCTCGGACTGCAGGTGCCACCTGGCCACCCTCACCCTAGCAGGCTGGGGGTCTCTCTGATGGCCCTACTGGGCACTTGGCACAGGATGCCCCTTCGCCCCTCATGGTGTGACAACATAGTTTAGATAAATCTACTCACACCAAGCAAGCACGTACTTTAACTATGGCTTCTTGAATCATAGGCCAAAGTCTGAGAACAGGTTAAAGGGAGAAGCCAAATGCAGGGACTGTATTCTAGATGATCTACTCTACCACGTCAAGAAGAATGGGAAATGCATTTTCAAGATCAGCTGAAAATATAAAAGTTCTACTATTACCTTAGAGCTGTTGACAGGCTTAGCCTGGGCATCTTGGGATGGAAAAACTCACTTTTTCTTCATAAGTGATGGTTGCTGATTTCAGGCATAATGAAAATAGCAAGAGTCCCACGGAAACATTACACTCTGCTCATGGGGTGATGTGAGCAGGCATATGCACTTGGAGGAAGCATTGGGATCAAAAGGCATTGATTTCTACCATCAACACTAACTCAGCCCTGATGTGAGGTTGAAGTTAACAGTGAGTTCACTTCTGAGGCAGACTCCTTCACACAGGTCTGTGGGAGAGCATCCTCCTGGCTTCTAGCAATTCCACCATCGGACTGAACCTTCTCGGCACCCACCGATCTTCTGGATCAGTTGAGAGCCAGGTCTGTACAGATAGCAGCTCAAGACAGCGCCAGCCGTTCATCGCCAATTACCAGGGTGAACATTTGTACTCCAAAGCTGACAAACAGGATAAGAGCTCTCAAAGACTCATCAGTTCTAAAAAGATTTCCATTCTGCCAAACGCTGCCCTGGTATGTGACCCTCACCTATGTATGGTGAACAGTCAAAGGAAACACTTAGGGCTGAAGGTGCCACAGGCAGTGATCCCCAGAACTGCCTCTCAAAGGGCAGTCTGCTCCCAAGTCAGGGCCAGTGATACAATTCCAGACAACTCATTCAAAGTTGGCTTTGGAAACGAGGGGGGGGGGGGGGCGCTTCAGACACCCTAGCAGGGACTTCTGAACTGGTACTTCCAGCCATATCTCCATGCCAACGTGTTTTCATCTGAAAAACTGCTGAAGAGCCAAGACTGATGACAAGCAGGTTCCCTGAAGCGGGGATAATGGCTGTGAGCCTAAGTGCCTGCCTGCCAACAGGGGCCACTAACCCTGAGACGTCCGTCCGTCCATTCACTGCGGGACTCACAGTCGGCTCTAGACCTAATCCCAGGAAGGTGATGAAATGGACACGGGGACATTCCAAAGTACTTTGATCTTTCTCTATCAACTGCCTACTAATGAAGATAAAGCCAAATTAGAAACAAAAAGTAGACGTTACTCCAATTTGAAAGCCACAGTCAGTGTCAGAACAGTCTTAGAGCGAGCAGAAAGCGTGTTTCTTTGCTGGATTATGAAGTAAACCCCCATGTTTAGTCATTTTGAATCAGCTTTAGGAGAGAGCACAAATCAAACAGACTAAAGCCATAGTGTTTATTAATAGTAAATCCTCAGTATAGAATATCTATGTATCCTCCTAATTACTTCCACTTTATGGACTGTTTTTCTATTAAAAAAAAAAAAGCTCAAAGAAATATTCTTTTTGAAGAACAAAGTCTCCAAGAAAGTGATTCTTACAAATCTTTCAAGGATCCCAGCAACTTTGAAATCCATTAAAATCCAAATACAGACTATCAGATTCTGCTCTGACATAATTTTTACACTTTTAGAACAACTTTTCATTACCCATTCAGGCAGCAACAAATGAGGAGGGAAAGTAAGACGAGATGATGGACTATGTTGAAATTCTCAAAGAATCAATATATACAATATCCACAGGAAAAGGCTGGAATAAAATGATAATTATTACATTAGAGTGGTTATTTCTCTTCTCTGTGTTTTACAAATGACCTATTCTATGACTACATCATGTTGTAATAAAAACTTACTAATGAAGAAAATTCAAGGTTATTAGACATAGTCGACTTTATAAAACAATTTTCAAACAAGTGAGCAGAAAATAGGGCACTCAACCAAGGACAGCGCGATGCTACGAGGCTCCTTGGTCCCGTCGAGACCAAATCCATCAGCTGCATTTCCTGGTGGCATGGTCCTTGGAGACGGGAAGCAGACGGAGCCCCACCTTCCCTGAGGCACCATGAACTCAAACTAAGGCACGTACAGCAAAGACTGAATTTCCACACGTTTATTAGGCTTCGTGCCTGGGGAATCTCAGAGCACTTTGAAATGCACACTTGTTTCGGTTTCAGGGGAGGAAAGCGAGACTCTCCCACAGACACCACAGTGGCAATGACTGGCAGGTGCACCGGCAATAGAGGCCATGTTAGTGACCGCACCAACTCACCAGCATTCCGGTACTCGCGGACTTGGGGAAAGAGTAGGGAACATCGTATCTACATGCAGTGCAGGGGATCAAACTGGGAGCCCCATGCATGCTAGGCAGGCATGCAGTCACTAAGCTATGCGCCCTCAGCCCAATTCTTCAACAAATTCTGTTTCACACATTAACTATCTTCACTTCAGCTACATCCATGAGGCTGTAGACATCTCAGTCACCACGGGTAGCACATAGAGGGGACTCGCCATACTATTTTAGGAGGCTGTTTGGGGCAGTAAGTGCAGAATCTGTGTGAGTCTCATAAGATAAAAACTTATAGCTCATTCCTGGAATGTCACAGTAGACACTCCACTCGAGTCAACTGACCCCAGAAAGGGTTGTGAGTGTTCATGGTAAGTGTGTATGAAAACAGAAACCTCAGTAAGAACTTTAGAGTCTGTTCCCCAAGAAACACAACTTTGCCTGTCTGTGATCCTAGCTAGCATTCAGGGAATGAGAGCGGGAGGCCAGCGTGGACTACGTGGGGAAGCAAAAACTAAACTAAACTAAAACAAGGCAAGAAAGAAATCATGGTCTGTGCCCAAAGGCTGTGCACAGGCTGACGTGGCTTCCATCCCCACTGGAGGTGTCTGGAGGTTGTGCATCTGCAAATCCCACGGGTCCTCAGGCAGGGTCACAGCTGCTGGCTGCTGAAGAAGGACTTAGTCTCCCTGCAGACAGGATTTACACAGAGGGGACAGCTCAGAGTCAACTGCGTGGAGCACAGCTTGTTTGACCGGATGTGTGAGTGTACCAGGTCAGCCAAGGCCTGCAAGACACAGAGTAGAGCCATCTGAGGGGAGAAGTCTGCTGGCCCTGAGCGCAAGTCCTCCGCGCATCCCGGGAAAACTGCTCTGGTTGCGGTTTCTTTTCAACGGAGTGGACCAGAACTGGAAAACACAGTCCGTCCTGGAGCAACGTCAGCTCAGGCAGAGTCAAAATGGAGACTTTAGGAAATGGATCTTCCTACCCCACCCACCGCACCTCCTCACTGTAAAGCAGATTTAAAACCAGGCAGCTGTAGGTGGGCAAAATAAGGAGAGTTGGGGCTACCTAAAGGACAAAGGAGGAGAAGGAATTCGCTCTTAGTTTTGTAATTAATTGGAACTCCAAATGTACTAATATGTGAGAAAACCAATATTGCACAGGAGTTTCTCAGAGGACTACTCTGCGCTGTGTTCTACTAAAACGGTTGTAACACTGCGTACCTTAGAGAACAATGGATTTCCATTAAGAGACTCCGCTCTTCTGATGTTTTCCGCTCCACACTGAATCAAAGGAGAAGGGGAAGAAAACACAGACTCGTTTTAGTCTCCTTTCCTCTCCCTCTTCTTCTTCTTCTTCTTTTTTTAAGACACCGAGTGTTACAAAAGAATCAACACGCACACAGCTCATGTCTGACCTCGAGTGGTAGCAGACGGCTCGTGAAGGTCGGTCATGGGGTGGATGGGCAGGCTGACCAGGTTACCGGAAGCCACGCCTCTGTTCCTGTGTTACCCCCACCCCAGCAACCTCGCACAGGTGACAGACATGCTTCCGCACCATGCTTGCAGCCGTACTGGATGGAATTCTCACCGCTGATTCAAGTCCACTTACCACTCTTGCTCTTATTCTGCCTCTCTAAGGCAAGCCTTACAGACTCCATCTAGTCAATGTGGCTGTAATTAAGTAAATTTCCTACTTGCTTTGATCTCAAGTAAGTGCCAAAATGAAGGAAATTCATTTATGGACTCTAAGTCATATTGACTCTAAACTGAATCCAGTGCAGAACTGGGTTTTAAAATAAACTCTTAGAGAGAAAAATCTAAGAAAAAAATCTGGGTATTGTTCAGTACCATTCTTTTCCCATCTTAAATAACAAAACAAACAGCAAGAGATACAGCTACTTATTCTCAGATAATGGAGAACTATGTATGATTTATTCCATAGCCAGGATCTTCTCTTTCCCATCCATGCTGAGACATGGTCAGGATCTATCTTTCACATTGGCATTTAAAGGAGGCGCCCACATAGGAAGCACATTGGTGTTCAGCAAACACCTAGACCTCAACATGGAGGAGGTTCTACTTTAAAAAAAAAAAAATCACAAACCATCCATGGCAGCAGAATAAGCAGCATTAGTAATCAGCGGGGTGTGGGCTAGGAAGACGCAGCAACAATGAATCGTCCACAGAACATTATTGGAAAAGTGAAAGCATTTATAGTCACTTAGCATATGATAGTAAAAATTAAAAAAAAAAGACAACTCAAATGACTATTAATCAAGGATTTGCTAAAAATGGCTATAGGCATTTAATTATACTTACTCACTTATATCCAAAATACGTACTTAAGAAAAGAAAATGGGGATTTAAAAAATATGGATAGAATATCATTTCGCTAAATGCGGAAAAGCCTATTTTAGGGTCAGAGTATGAGCAAGCCCCATTCCTGACCCAGCACCTTCTCAGCACCATCTGAGAACTTTATTATTTTTATCAGCAAAAAGCAAAAAAGCCGTTTCTATTGTGGAAAACATTTTTAACCTTTAAAGTTAGTTGTTTTAAGCATGTTATATTTTCATATCAAAATAATGATAACTACGTGGTTTCTTTTATTTCCTACCGGGATTATTGATCACTAATAATCATCTTGGTTACTAGCTATTAACAGCCTCTGCTTGTAATACGATGAATAGAAACTATCACTCAACACAGATAAAAACTTATGTTCAAATACCCTGTCCTAGGTAAGGCTTATTTTGACCGAGGTCTTTCTAGAATGTATAGAGGTAGGCAAAGTCATGGTAGGGATACAGAGGCATCAATAAATGAAACCCACAGGCAACAATGAAGCCTCATCTTTGCCAATTACAACTTGCCCATAAATTACTAGTGATAAGAACACCGGCTTTCCTTAATTCACCCATGTTTGACTGATGGCCAGCATAGACACACAAATAACAGGAGTTGACAGTGGTCTCCAGTTCTGCCCCTACTCACCCTCCACTCTGCCCCTCACCACCACCCAGTCCCAGAAGGTGTGCAGTGTTCTGTGGAGTCAGATTTCCTTCAGTCACACATGGGGAGGCCATGAGTTCTCATCCAAGATTGGAGGGAGAAAAGGGCTTCCTGAGTCCCCACGTTTCCAACTTCCCACAGAAACACAGCAATAAGTCACTGAAGGGTTCGGGCTAGCCCTCAGAAGCTACAAGATAGGTAAGCAACAGTTTTTCTCCACCCTGCGGGACACGCCACATCCATCTTATGCCAACAGTGGTATTTGTTATTTCAATAGTCAAATTGATCGCAACTTGTTAGCAAACAGCTAATTAAGTGAGTGCATAGACGAGGTCAGTGACATCATAACACACCCCGCTGCTGTTTGCTCTCTGCTTCTCTCTGAAATGTCAGACTCATATGCCCCAAACCCAACCAGAAACAGTATAACAACCCAAGAACCACGGCTGTGGTAAGTGCAGGGAATGAATTATAGACTAATAAACATTTCCGCTCAGAATTGGTGAGATACTCAATTCCTTTTCTTCTAAGAGTTCACCTTCACACAGTACAGTAACTCACACCGAACCAAGTATTAGTTTCAGAGATACTGGGCAACATGACTTGATAAAGGTATAAATGTCCTCTTCTACTGCTAATGTGGAATTAATTTATGAAGTATTACTCAAAATGGTGAGGACTGAGTACATACAAACACACCAAAAGTATTCTTCCTTTCTTTCTCTATGTAGCCCTGGTTGGCTGGAACTCACTAAATACAATACTGGCCTTGAACTCAAAGAAACTGAGATCTGTTTGCCTCTGTCTTCCAGAGCTGGGACTAAAGGAGTGTGCTGTGGATATTGTTCTGTATAAATAAAACACTGATTGGCCAGTGGCCAGGCAGGAAGTATAGGTGGGACAAGGAGAGAGGAGAATTCTGGGAAGCGCAAGGCTGAGGGAGACACTGCCAGCCGCCGCCATGACAAACAGCATGTGAAGATGCCGGTAAGCCACGAGCCATGTGGCAAGGTATAGATTTATAGAAATGAATTAATTTAAGATATAAGAACAGTTAGCAAGAAGCCTGGTACTGCCATACAGTTTGTAAGCAATATAAGTCTCTGTGTTTACTTGGTCGGGTCTGAGCGGCTGTGGGACTGGCGGGTGAGAGAGATTTGTCCTGACTGTGGGCCAGGCAGGAAAACTCTAGCTACAGTAGTGTTCCAACATACCTAGTCCCATAAACAGTAATTTTTTTCAATAGTATAGTTTGATAATTGCAGAAAAAAAATTTCCTGTTAAAACAAGTCATGATGGGACTAAGAAGCCATATGGGCACACTTACCTTCTCCGCTAATACTTGGGAGTATTCAATATCCAGTTCATACAGTGTCTCAATGTGGTCACTGGTAAATGCTATTGGAACCAAAAGGATATTCTTCCGCCCCCTCGCACAAAGCCCTTTGATGGCCTCATCTGTTTGAGGACCCAGCCAGGGTACTGGGCCAACCTAGGAGAAAGGAAGACCAGCGCAGAGATGGAACATTTCTCCTGACAGGTCACTAACATTGCTATCGCCACGCCCCCGCCCCCAACACACATGCAGCACACACATCTGTCCATCCTGGTGAGAGCCCCCCTCACACCTCCTTGAATGGGTTTGAGGATTTTCACACGGAAGCTTGAGTCCTTCCGGAGGCTGGCCCAATAATACAAATAATAGTTTCTTCCATTAAAGCTAAAAGTCAGATAGTAACTGACGGAACTCCACCAGTTGCTCAATTTCCTCTTCTATCTACTGTTTTTGCAGAGTTCTTTCGGCCCACAGCGAGCAGCTGACTTACAGAATAACTTGCTGGCATGGAAGCACCCAAATTCCCATTTACAAATAAGCGATAAAGTAGATTTTCACGAGACGATGGCCTGAAAATGTATGAAAGGTACCTACCTTGGACTGCCAAACCAGTCGGTAGGGGTTGGGGTAACCTAGCTCTTCCATGACTTTGTGGACAGTGGCACCTACTTCTTGGGGATAGGGGTCCCCTCTGTTGACAACCTGCAGTAGTGACAAAGTGATACACAGTCACCAACACTGTGAAGGGTACCAAGAGCCATTGGCTATGCAGCGACAGGATGAACATGAGTCACACCCCTCCCTGGCTGTCCCCTGAACTAATGACATTCGGATCGGAGCGCTGTTAGGAAAGTCCCTTGGTTCCAGTCATTCACTGGCCAGGGACCACTGTATCAGTCAGCTACAAGATCCCAAGGAAGATGCTGTTGGTGGAAGATGGGCAAGGTCTACCCACAGAGATGGTTCTCTTTCCCTCCAGGATGGACAGAGTGCAGAATGGCTGAGCTGATGGTAAACACGGGGAAAAGGCAGAAGGATGCAGTTCCTGGTTCAGAGCACCAGCTCCTCCCACCCGAGGTGATCGATGCCTCCTCCTCCTTCTCTCTCCACCCTTCCCCAACAAGTGACAGCAGACAATTTGTGAACAGTAAGGCGCGTGCTCCCAACAAGAAAGCTAAATACGAACCTTTGAAGATATTCAGCCAACATTTTTATTTTAATTGTTTTCATCTTTTGTGGTGTATTGACTCCCTAACTCCATCACCCTCCATTATGGTGTTTATTACCTCCTGACCCACCGTGCTATTTTCCTTCATATTATGTTAACTGTCTTTTCCTGGTATTGTACAAGGACAAAGGTTTTTGTCTATTCACTTCATCCCCACATCTGATGTGTATAACAGGTGCCCAATAAATACTGTATTGATGAAATGAAATACTAAGAAAATATATTATAACATGACTAGTGACCAAATAATCATTAGAAACACAAATGTAGAAGGGATAAAAGAGATACAAAGTTGCCTTTGGCACTGTATAACAATAACTGCTACAGGCAGGACATCCACTGTAAGGCAGCTCCTTCGATGTTCCAGCATAAACATTCATCTGCCCTCTCTGGAGATTCACTCTGGCACCTTGGGTCTCATCACACCTAGAATGGATCCTTGGAAGGATTTGCACGACACTAGAAAGGAGATGTGATCTCACTGAAATGAAACAGACAGGCTTCCAACGGGAGAAATTCATCTCCAAAGCCATCTATTACTAATGTAGAGGCTGCATGTTCCAGGTGAGTGGCACCTTGACTCTGGTGACCATCAAGGAGCAACATGGTACCCTCCACCTGAGGCTGGTTGGCTCCATTAATCATGTGGTTCAGACTGATCACATGTAAGAAAATGTAATCTCCCACCTCTATGTCTTGGAAAACAGTGTTCATGGGACAGGATTTTAGTTCCGAGCAGATAAAACTGGTACTGAGTCCAAGATCTTTCAAATACCATACGGCACATTAGCATGGTATTGCCATGTTTCCCGAAGTGCAACAGCCATGGTATACGAGATGGCATTTCAGTGACCAACCCAATACAATATGATGAACCAAGGGTCATAAGCTGTATATTCTCTGGTCACACTGTGGTCCCTAGTTTTAGCAAATTTGAGTCCCAGAATGCACAGGTTCCCGCTAAGTCTTGAAGACAGAATTCGGCTTAGTGTGAACGGAGCTGGCTGCACAGCTCAGTATATGGGAACTGCACACTGCCCTCCTTCCATAGAGCAGGCAAAAGCACACTTCTTTTAGCTGATACACTTGTTGGAAATTCTTTTTTTTTTTTTTTCCGGAGCTGAGGATCAAACCCAGGGCCTTGCACTTGCTAGGCAAGCACTCTACCACTGAGCTAAATCCCCAACCCCACAACCCCATTGTTGGAAATTCTTATATCTGAATGAACCTTCCAGTTATCATTTTAAAGAAGGCCATTAATAAGATCTATTTGTAATATTGGGCATTGAATTAACTGCTGGGAGGTTTCAGAAAGTGAGTCTTTGAGCAAGCTAAGGCTGGGATTTTAGAATTCATTCTTGCACTACGCTGGGGACAGAATGGAGCCAGGTACATTTTACACATTTAGAAAGTGAAACAACCCAATCCTTTACCACTAGGTCACCGAACGAAATGTTCTTACTTACAGACATTGGCAGGGAGTGGGCAGAAAACAGAATGACCACCTCGCTTCTCTTCTCCCGTGGAAAATGATCCAGTTCTTTCAGAATGTGGTCTGCAAAGCACTGTGGGAACCCCAAGAATAGGGGAGAAGGTAGTGAGAAGAAAGCAAGAAGGGAAGGAAGGGTCTCAGAAATGAGAGCTATACCAAAAATTTCAGAGTAATCTTCCAAATCTGGAACTCTATCTCTTTTTTAAAAAATGCAAACAGTACAGTCTCTTTGATTTGGTACAGCTTCAGAATGGATGGCAATGGTTTCAGGGGCCTAGGGAATTTGATGGGAAACTTCTAAAGCTCACTAATGGCTCTCTGCAAATGAACGCTGAGGATCTGCTTCCCCTCGGGAAGAGCAGGGCACACTTCCAGATGGAAAGGAAACACAGATGGGAAGGAGAAGTTGTTTTAAGACTCACATTTGCGCTGTTAGCAGGAAAACAGCTTACAGGGTCTTTCTAAATCTCCCTTACTTTGGCTCTCAGGCACATCACATTAAAATACATTAGCCAGAAATAGGAGAGAAATAAGAAAATACTCGTCTATTTTTATGACATCTTTCTTAGGAGTCCAGGATCTGTAGCAAAGCAATCCTCCTCACAAGCTTCATGATGACAGATGACAGGCTGTACAACCCCCATTAAACACGCAGAGGGGGAAAAGATGTGGGGATGGGAGGACTGGCGAGCCATATGTGTGAATGTGGACTAGAATTCAGGTCCTGCTGCCTTCAAACCTCTGTCCACCAGACCAGCTCCTTCTCGGTTCTAGTTGGCACTTGCCGATTCTCGTGGGTAGGTGCTGAAACACCAGATCTAAAGAGACTTTCTTTCATCTTACACTTGAATCATTCCTGGCCATTTGGTTTATAAGGAAAATGTAGCAAAAGACAGAAGTCGGTCAACTGGTAAAGCTGGAATGTGACCGGAAATTAGACAGGACTGGAACATCGGGGTCAAAATAAACTGCTGTGGAATTTTTGCACTGTAGTTATCTTAACAGAACAGTCCTGATCTTAAGGGGTGTGTGTGTGTGTGTGTGTGTGTGTGTGTGTGTGTGTGTGTGCGCGCATGTGTACGTGTTTATCTGCTCTCAGGTAGTTCAGAAAAAAATATCTGCAGACATATACATACATACACATAGAGAGAACATGTAAATGACAGATCAAGTAAAACATGTTAACACGTGAATACAGGTAAAGCATAGACGGCAGTTCATTATGCCATTTTCTAAGATATTCATTTTATGTGTATGGGTGTTTCACCTGCATGTATGTCTATGCACCATGTGCATACTTGGTGCACACAGAAGCCAGAGGAGGCCGTCAGATCTCCTGGGACTGGAGGTACTAATGGTTGTGAGCTGCCACGTGGGTATTGAACTCAAACTGAGGGTCCTCTGGAAGAGCAGGCAGAGCTCTAAACCACTGAGCCATCTCTCCAGCCCTTATTTCTCTTTTAATTACATATATTTGTGTAAGGCGGGGGGCAATAGTGTACAAGTGGGTGAAGGTACCCACAGAATCCAGAAGAGAGAGTCAGGTCCCCTGGAGCTGGAGCTGCAGCCGTTGCGAGCCTGAGGTGGTTGCTGGGAACTGAACTGGGGTAGCGGTATACGCTCTTAGCCAATGAGCCTTCTCCCCAATCACATCATCCTTGTAACTATTTTTGCATGTCCAAATAAAAAATTTAAAGAACAACTTAACAGAAATCATACCAACTTGGAGTTGATGTCTTTGGATATACATCAGTGTTCAGTTATTATTGTAAGTTCCAAACTAGTCCCTAAGAACACTAAGATATTTATCATTCCAGAACTCACAAATTTTGGTAAGTAAATACCTTATTGAACAAAATGGTACCCAGAAAAGATACCTAGAATTTTGTTCGCCTCTCCTTCTTCTCCCTCTCATCTCCATATTGTAAGTGTGATAATATGTGATAAAAACAAAAGCTCTATTTTTATAGTGCTCATGATGTTTAGACAGCAAGACTTCTCAGAAAGGATTATTTGTAGAGAGCAGCCATTGTACATAAAGAAGCCAGTGCAAAGTTTATGTAGGAGCCCGGAACATACATTTACTGCAACTACTCCAACAGCTCGATAAATAGCAGTATTAGAGAATTGGTAATAAAAGGACTATTTTGAGTAACTAGTACTGATAACATGCAGAAATGCGGACTTAAGGCTATATTTTTGTTGAGTTTAGACTAGATTTTTAGGGTTTTGCCCCCCTTCCTTTCATTTCCTCAGCTTGTAAAATTGCAAGGAAGAACACAATTCCTTGGGGCTTGCAAGAGTCACTAAGCCATCTTCAAAACTCAAGCAGCCTGGGCAAATAAGAAGTGCTACTTAACTCACCTAAGCCCATCTGCAGGATTTTCTGTGCACAGACAGCCCCTGTGCAAAATGAAAGCAGCAAGGCCTCTCAGAGCCTTCAATCACACCATCCAGGAGGGCAGATAAATGCCTCTAAAATTCCCTTTCATTTTATGAACAGAGACTTCCTCGGCTAAGAGACCTTGCCATCTTTCTGCTTCCTCCTTTTCAAAGGGCTGAATTTTAATGCAAATCTAATTACTCCCTCGATCAGGGCAGGCAGATGCTGTGCAGACCCCTCTTCCTGTGCCACATGTCAGGGCAGACCTGCAACACCCCTCCTTCCCAGGCACAGCAGCAGCCGCGGCCTTAGGCACTCCAGCTACCCCGGACTGGACCCGGGAGAACAGTGACCGCTGGACACACACACACAGCCCACAGACACCCATCCCCTAGGGGACCTCTTTCCAGTTTTCACTCCAGCACAAGTGTTAACCCTTTCTCTACCCACCCACAGGAAACGGCTCTGGGGAAAGCCAGCCTGATTTTAATGCCGTCTAGCACCATCTAGTGGTCACAGGTTTTAAGTGCTGCCAATCTTTTCAGGTATTTTTGCCAGCGATCACAGAATGATCAAAGAATATAAAATAAATCGAACGATAGTCCGAATCACTTCATATTTCCCTACCTAAATAACTCAAAAGCAGAAACTTCTACAGACTCAAAAACCTATCTTAATGACTCAGGACTTTTTTTTTAAACACCTCCACTCTCATGGTTTTTTAAAAAAAGAATAAAAGCCGGGCAGTGGTGGCGCATGCCTTTAATCCCAGCACTCGGGAGGCAGAGCCAGGCGGATCTCTGTGAGTTCGAGGCCAGCCTGGGCTACCAAGTGAGTTCCAGGAAAGGCGCAAAGCTACACAGGGAAACCCTGTCTCGAAAAACCAAAAAAAAAAAAAAAAGAAGAAAATAATACCAACTCAAAGCTTTTGGTTTTAGAGTCGTAATTTTACCTGATTCTTCTAAATTAAAGTGTTTACTGACAGAATATTACAAAGATAAATGTACAGGAGAAAAGAGAATTTTCCTTTGAGCTATGAGACTTCCCCCATTGAAATGTTTACTTTCATGTGTCCTACTATGTATCTATACAATCTTTACTGTTTAATCCTTTGATATTTTAAAGGATTTAGAAAATGGAGGATGTAAGTTATTTGTTGGTCATCCAATCTAGGTATATAAGTTAAAGGAAATACTATGTATCCATATAATCTTTAATAGTCTTTTGGTCTCTGAAAAATACAAATACCAATGTAAATCTGTAGAAAGAAGAGCCTCACCATCCTACCCTGACGTTTACTGTCACTTTTCATGGTAAGTAAGACATCCAATGGTGTGACTTTCATTCCCAGCATGTAACGTGAGCAAGGACCAGCAAGCTCGGAAAGCATCTCAGACAGAGCAGGCTCACTCGTACCAGACCTGCGGGGACGGAGGCTGCTGGCCGGCGGGCAGGCGGGCGGACGGGCGGGTGGGCGGGCATACACACCTGGATGAGGAGGGGATGTGTGGGCCACCTGTCAATTGTGCTCCACTTCATGGTGGGCTTCCGTCCCACCTCGTTATAGTATCTGTAAATGGCATTTAAGCTGCTGCCTAAAATACAAGGGAGTCATTTAGTAGACACACTCGATTGTGGAGAAAATACAGCACAGACTGGTAAAGGGCAATAATTGTAAGTTCAGGGTAGGCAGCTGTTTCTATACAGAGACCGGGTCTAATTACGATCTTTTCAATACTCTAAAATGCATATAGATTTAACTACCCTGCAAATGAAGATCACTAAAGAGCAATCAATTTCAACAGACCTTCAAAGATTATTGAGGCCATTTCTCCTGAGAGACGTGAGGGCTGCGAGTTTATGAAATATAGGCTATTGTGAATTTGCAGGGACCAAGTCTTAAAATTGAGAGCATGTGAAGAAAAGCTCTCCCATTATGACCGGAATCAGCCCTATTACAGGCAGTGTAGGGGGTGAGAGAGAAAGCCAGAAGTGGGCTGTTATCCCAGCATGCTGATGCTGCTTTGTGTCCTTCTAACACTGCTGTTTTCTGGTATTTTCCTTTAGAGCGGCTTCATTTTCCAAGGTTTTCATGGTGGAATATGCATCATTCTATATCTAGAGCATTTTTGGACATTTTCAGTCAATATTACAAGTTAAATATTTCTCACATTCAAATGAAAGCTGTAAAGCCATCCTTTCTAAAGGTGCAATCAGAGGGTAAGCAGCCTGTCAAGGCGTCTAAAAGCCCTGCATTTAATCAATTCTTACAAAATGTGTCATTCCCCGGAATAAAGTAAACAAACGCTGCCCTCTGGCAGGTAACCTAACAAACGTTGTGTTTCCAAGTGAAAGGGGATTTGATGACAACCCGAAGTCCAGGAGAGGAGCAGCAGGAGGAAGCCAGGAAGCTGACACTGGGGTCAAATCCTGAAGCCCATAAAACCACCCCTAACGGGGCCTCTTACTCAGTCTCACACATAGCAAGTTCCAACATGTCTGTGTGCTACCTGTCACCAGTTTCCTGGGTTCCTTACCATAGGGATCATAGTTAAGTTGCCAGTTTAAAAAGCTTACTCAGGACAGAGCCACAGTTTAACTCATATTGTTTGCTCAGGCTAAGATTCATCTTGCATTAAAAAGAAAAATCAATGGACTCAATTCCAATGAGTAGAAACAGTGATGTAAGAGAATCTAAATTTGAGGGACAAAATAATCTCCATAGAAATCAAAGTATCACATCATATTCACACTGCAGGTCTCACTGCACATTTGGGCATCATTTTCTGGGAGTCACTTTAGCTCCCTTGTGTCACTGGACAACAGTCAATATACTACCGGAAGAAGTAATTAAGAAGGGGGTTATTATAAGTGAGAAAGATGCCACGAGAAATACAGACCACACGGTGTATGTTCAAAAGACACAGTAGCGAAAGGAGACCATTGGCCTCAAAGAATAAATGTGTTTCCTAAAACATTCATAGCTTAGAAGTACAGATGCTTGGTCCTTACACATGCGGTGCACTGGAGAAAAGCCACGTGTGCCCTGAGCCCTGCCCACACAGCTAGACCCATCTGGGAGGGAAGGAGTGCATCTTTTGTATGCCACACCAATAACAACTGTAACTAATCAACTATGGAGAGCAGACATCTGCAAGTCAAGGGACATTTTGCAAAGCAAGATAAAAATACGCCTTGACAATTCTAAGATCTGACTCATTCTCCAATAATATATTAGCAGATATTTTAAACTGTAGATTGCCAAAGTAAATCACAATTCAAACTTCTGGGTGTATGTGAAAGATTGGGCATTTTAACAGGTGCGCGCTCTCTCTCTCTCTCTCTCTCTCTCTCTCTCTCTCTCTCTCTCTCACACACACACACACACACACACACACACACACACACTTGTGTGCCTCAGTATTTAAGGCACACAACACTTGGAATGTTTCCTCCGTAGCCTTTAGTTCCTCCCTATAGGTATAATAACATTAATATTCAAAGGCAAACTGGGAATACAAATGCACTGGCCTAAATCCTTTAGAGAATGCAAATATATTTGTGGGTAATAATAAAGCTTTACCTATAATTAAGAATAGCTTTAATCCCAGCACTCGGGAGGCAGAGCCAGGCGGATCTCTGTGAGTTCAAGGCCAGCCTGGACTACCAAGTGAGTTCCAGTAAAGGCGCAAAGCTACACAGAGAAACCCTATCTCGAAAAAACAAAAAAAAAAACAAACAAACAAACAAACAAAAAAAAAAAGAATAGCAGGGCATGGCAGTACATGCCTTTGATCTCAGCACTCAGAAGGCAGAGGCAGGTGGATCTCTGTGAGTTCAAGGCCAGCCTGGTCTACAGAGTGGGACCTGGCTCAAAAAAAAAAAAAAAAAAGCAAAAAGCAAACAAACAAAAAAGAATATACAGTTTCCCAAGCTTACATTTCATCTTCAGTCAAATGTCCAGAGATCAGCAAGGAGTAACGCATTCCAAAACCCAAGAACACAGCAGTTTATAAAATGTTCATTTGAGTCCCCACGTTGGGTTTTTCTTGGTTTGTTTTGGTTTTGTTTTTTGTTTTGTTTTTTGAGATAGGCTCTTACCATATAACCTTGGCTGGCCTGGAACTCACTCTATGAATCAGGCTGGTCTCAAATACATAGAGAACAGGCCTGCCTCTGCCTGGGATGAGCGGTGTGAGCCACCACACCTGGACAGGATAGATTTTAAATTAACCAGTAACTAACCCATAACTGAAGACAGACACAAAAATGAAATAGCAGTATTTTCCGAATTTCCATATGAATACTTCTGCTTTCAAAATGGAAACAGTCATCCACTTATTCCTTTAATAAGAATTTCAGGGTAGACATAAAAATAAGGTTATGAAACAAACCTAGAAAATGATTAAGGTTCATCGCTGGCCTTTTAACCAACTGTATTAGAGTAGCAACCAAGCGCAGTCACCACCCTCCACAAACCGTTTATAACACTCAGCTGGCAGACCAATCATTCCAGAAGCACACGAAGCATGCGAGTTCAAAGCGACTGACCTGAGCTCTGAAGTGTCAAGAAGACACTTGACCAGATCTGCCATTCAAATTGCAAATTTCTTCAATGGTCAGATTCCTGGGCTAATTCTGCCAGGGCTCTAGCCACCTCAGAGATGTCCTTACCCGTGGTGGAGCAGCTATACTGTGGATACTGTGTGAAAGCAATGGCCCTTTCTAGGCCATCTCTCTCCATCTCTTCAATTGCTTCTTCTGTCAGAGGATGGACGTACCGAAATCCAATATAGTATTTGTGAGGTGCTATTAGGAAACACAAGTGGGAAGGAGAAGGTATTAATCTTTATATGGATTCCTCAGGGTCACCAAACGTAATGTAATGGCCAGAACAATGAACGACTAACCTAATTTTCTACAATGCTGATACGGTGAGCAAGTGAGGATATTCCTGGCATCTTGTCCATCTTTTGGCAGGCACAGGGGCACTTGGTTATTCTCAGAGATCAACAATCCTACCCGCCTACCTTTTATTAATATGATCATCTTTAAAATGCAAGCTTTTATTCTTAATTATCTGCTCTCATCAGACATAAGGAGACTGCAGAAAAGGGAGGGGAAAAAACAACTAGTATCTAGTTGGATGAGGTGGCACAGCCTTTAACCCCAGCCCTCAGGAGGCAGATCTCTGTGAGTCTGAGGCCAGCCTGGTCTATATAGCAAGTTCCAGGCCAGCCAGGGCTACATAGTGAGACCCTGTCTCAAATTTCTTTTTAAAATTTAGTACTCATTCATGACATGTACTGTCTTAATTGAGCAAAGTGGCATATGCATGTTATCCCCAACACTTGGGAAGCAAGAGCAGGAGGCCAAGTTAAGGACCGCTGGGGCTACACAGCAAGTTCAAGGCCAGCCTGAGTTACATAGCTAGACTGTGTCTCAAAACAAACACACAAACGAGGGCTGGAGGATAATTGTAGAACATGATCGTGATCACAGTACACAGGAGCCTTAGGCAGGAAAACTGAGTCAGCCTGATATACAGCACATTCAAGGCCAGTACAAAATATAAAGTGAGACCCTGACTCAGAAAAAAAGAAAGAGAAACAGCCAAGACTTCTGAGAATCACCTTCAGTTAGCCCCGTAGCCCGGAGGAAGCAGGGAAGCACAGAAATGCCTAGAAGGAACAGACAGAGACCAGCTGAGCTGCCTGGAAGAAGCTCAGGCCAGCTGGTGAAGATGTTCTCCAGCCGTTAAGATGTCTGCTATCTGTGCACTGAGCTCCCCAACTTTTGCGAGCTGTCACTCATGATATGGTGGGCTTTAGTGATGTAGCTGTCTTTGGGACATTTCTGTTCCTGTAAGTAACTCTTACCCATTCCTGTAAATAACCAGACTGAAATTCACTGGGTTACCACCTTGGACTTTGGTGATAGCCATACTTTGGTCTGCCATCAATTCCCTATCTGGGGTAAGTAGATGCTTGTTCCTGTCTCCCAAAGTGTCGTGTCACACAAGCGGGTAGTGATTTGTCAAAGGATCATGAGTATCAAGGCCCACTAAGGGCTGGGAACTCAAGTAGAGCTTCTGAGATCCAGAGAAACAAAAGGTAGCTCCCAAGAGAAGTGACTGATGCCTGAGTGACAGTCACACAAGTCAGCTCCAATGGGGGGGTATGTGCAGCTAGCCCATAGTCTTCCTGTATGTATCCATCACGTGCTCAGTGCACACACAGACCTGGAGGTTGGATGGATGAATGAAGGACACACAGGTATAGGAATCGATGGGTAAAAGTGTAGGTGAATATGCAGGCAAATGAACAGAGCAAACAGGAGAAAAGACAATTTTATGCCACATTGAGTGAATTAATGACTTGTTAGGCAAGCCACTGAGCTTAGACCCAAAGTTGTGATGAATGAGTACTGGATATTTTAAAAATAAATCTCCCAAGGACAGAATGCTTAATGCTTAACTAATTAAAAAATCACCTTCCCAACAACTTCAAGTATGAAGTCAGTGTCTGATGCTTTGACAGCTTACAAAAGCAGAGAATTAATATCAGAACCCGCCACGTGTAAATTCCTGTCTTTGCATTATATGGACATACAATAAAATGAAAAGACATTTGACAGTAGGTGGGAAAATGCTCTGGGACTCTGTCCAACCAATCTCAGAGACTGAAGCCATAGAAAGTCTGGGCATTCAATAGCCTTTCCATAGTGACCAGAGAAGGAGAAAGTGGAAAGATGGGAAGAATGCATTCCTATCTGTTTTTGTTATTGTTTGTTTGTTTGAGACAGGGTCTCTCTATGTAGTCCTGGAACTCACTATGTAGGCCAGGCTGGCCTCAAACTCACAGAGATCTGCTTGCCTCTGCTCCCAAGTGCTAGGATTAAAGCTGTGCACCGCCTCGAACTCACAAAGATCCGCCTGTCTCTGCCTCCCGAGTGCTGGGATTAAAGGCGTGCGCCACCACAGAGGCCAGCCCGGTCTCCAAAGCGAGATCCATGAAAGGTGCAAAGCTACACAGAGAAACCCTGTCTTGAAAAACCAAAAAAAAAAAAAAAAAAAAAAAAAAAAAAAGGTGTGCACCACTACTCCAGGCTTTCCTGTCGGTTTTCTTTCTCCAGTCTGACATCTGATCGGGCTCTTCATGGGGATGGATGCTATGCTTCATGAGGATAGATGCTACGCTAACATAAAAATCCAAAAGGCTGGCGCCCTTCTAATTCTTCTTTCCATTAAATAATTTGCACATTGGATTCATTACCATGACAAACTGACAACAATCAGAGCATTTATTCTCTACCAAGGAGGAGTGGGTAGAGACAGCTAAGTTGTTCTGCCATGTTTAAAGAGATGCATTGTGGCCTATATAGATGAACTGTACATGAAAAGCCCTGGAGCCACAGCCATGCACACCTGACCATCAGAAGTACAGCTGAACGATTTTCTAAGTGAGATGGTCTCATGAGGGAGTGGGCTCCTTTGTGCAGTGGGACTGGGAGATTCTGAGAACATTTCAAGCTGATGCTCAGCGATGTTTTCTCAGAGAGAACTCTTATGGTCCTGCCTAATAGGCTGTTCTCTTTGAGGGCCCCAGGATCACACTCTTGTCCTGAGTCTGAAGCCATAGAAAGCATTTACAATGAACATATTTTCATACATCCTAACTTGAACTTCTTCTAATTTTAACACTTCTCATTATGCTGGTTGATGTTGTCTCATTGACACAAACTAGAGTCACCTGGGAAGAGGGACCCTCATTTGAGGAACTGCTTGCATTAGACTGGTTTGTGGGAATGTCTGTGGGGCCTTTCCTTGACTGATGATTGATATGGGAGAGCCAAGCTGACGATTGGCGAGCCACCCCTGGGCAGGAGGTCCTGGATGGCATCCCAAAGCAGGTTGAGCAAGCCATGGAAATGAACAGGGCAGCAGCACTCCTCCATGGTCTCTGCTTCCGTGCCTGCCTGCAGGTTCCTGCCTGAGTTCTTGCCTTGGCTTCCCTCAGGGGTGGACTGTTACAGGGAAATATAAAATGAAATAAACCCTTCCCTCCCCAAGCTGCTTCTGGTCAGTACGGTGTCACAGGAATAGAAGGCAAACTGGGACTCTCATACTGGCCCATGCTTTAGTATTACCTGAAACTATGTGTCCTACAGTCACGTGCACCTTGGATGGGAATAAATGCAGCACCTGTAGCTCATTCCTGCATTTAGTGTCTCAGTCTATGCAGAGGTTCTCACAAGTTACCAGATGTGTGCTGTTGAGAGTCAGGCCAACGTGGCAACTCTCTGCCTCACAGTGGTGATGCTGTTGAGTTGAAAGCATGACTGAAGATTGCTCAAGTGACTTACACTCTGAGTTACAGCTAGCTACTCCTCTAAATGCTCATCTAACAGCTGCCCAGCTAGAAGGAACGGCCACGGCAACCGCCTAGCCCATCTTCTGTGGACGGACGGTGTATTGCCTCCTCTTTACAACCCAGCTCAAGGTAACTTTAAACTCCCTTTTGAAACACTGCCCAACTTTTCAGCGTATTTGTGACACTGGAAGTAATTTTAAAAGGGTCTACTACAGTCAGAGGAGAATGTCTGGAGAACTCAGTCAAGCGAGCAGGTATTATATATTATAGATACTCACAAATCAATAGTTGCTGGTACCTGGACCAGGGAAACAGATCAGTAGAAAAAGTGCTGGCAGCACACGCATGAAGACTAGTTCAGAGCCCTGGTATCCACATCAAAAGCTGGGCAAGTCAGGTGGCCAGTTGTAATCCCAGCACATAGGAGGCAGAGGTAAGAGATCCCGGGGCAAGCTGGCTAGCTTAGACTAACTGGATTGGTGAGCTCCGGGTTAAACTGAAAGACCTGCCTCAGTATATAAAGTGGAGAAAAATCGAGGAAGACACAAAACATGTTAACTTTGGGCCTCCACATGCACACGAGCGCACACGCGCACACACACATTACTCATGCAGAGAATCGTCCTGCCTCTGCCTCCTGCGTGCTGGGATTATAGGACTGCACCACCATGCCTGACTCTGACTATCTACTTTAGCAAACCTAGCACTGTAGTAAGAAGAATACACACCTGTGTCAGGTGACAGCTCATCCAGCAGCTTCACCATGCCTTCTCCCTGCTTGGAAGTCCACATCTTGATGGGGGATCCACCTCCGATCCTGCGATACTGCTCTTGAATTTTGGGGGTTCGGCGTTTGGCGATGAATGGCGCCAGCTTACTAAATCATTAAACGTATAAGTAAGAAGGATTTTATTCCACTTTTGTAATCTGAGATACACTTTCTACTAATAAAGAAGACATGAGTAAAAGTTAAGAAGAGCCTAACACGATCAGCTGTTAGGAATACTGCCATGACGTCCCTAACAAGTCAGCATGGACTTGAGAGTTCACCTCTGCACTCCACAGTGCTTGAGGAACACATCCTGAACACTCTGGATACCCGCCCCTGACCTGGATGCTGCTAGATACCAACCTACATGCTGCTTCTGCACCGAACAAGAACTAGGGGGGAAAGTACAGGGAGCATACATTGGTTTCCTGATGCTGGGGACTGAATCTGGGTCCTCATCCATTCAAGGCAAGGACTCTACCATTGAGCTGAAGCTCCAGGACCATCCTGATTTGTTTTTAATTTTGGGACAGACTCTCACCAAGCTACGTCGACCACCCTTGAACTCTCAATGTTGCAGAGCCTGGCCCGGGTACCTACTTCTCCTGCTTCGAGCATCACCAAGCCTCACACAGGGCCCTTTGAAAAGCAATTTTTGTTATGTTTACGATTTGGGGTGTGTGTGTGTATGTGTGTGTGTGTGCAAATGCACATGTGTGTACGCACACTGGCACAAATGTGAAGGTCAGAGGACAACTGGCAGGAGTTGAGTTGGTTCTCTCCTTCTATCATGTGGGTCCCTCCATGGCATGTACACACCCACACATACACTAAATAAACAAAATGTAAAAAGAAAAGTATTGTTTCACGTTATGAAAGGAGTTTCAGTGGAGAAACGTGAAGCTTAAGTTTCAAACAGTTTCTGACACATCTATCAAATATTGGGTACAATCTTAAGTACGTTCTTTAGAAAATAATACGTGGCTCTTACCATATTTTCTTTTCTAAAACAACTACAAATGCTATCATTTATTACAAAAACCATCTCTCAACAGTGACAGAACTGAAGAGATTAGAAAGCAGGGAATCAAACAGGTCTCAGGGATTAAACTCTAAAACTCTTGGGCATCAAAACCTCACTATTGGATGGGAAAGATGGCTTAGCAGTTATGACCATGTACTGTTCTAGCAGAGGACTCGAGTTCTGTTCCCAACACCCATGTTGGGCAGCTCACAACCCACTGTAACTTCCATTCCAAGGGATCTGACACCCTCTTCTGGATTCCTCAGGACTTGTTTCCACACATGCACAGACACACACTTACACACATAACTTAAAATCTTTTTTTTTTTTTTTTTTTTTTTTTGTCTGAGACAGGGTTTCTTCTGTGTAGCCCTGGCTGTCCTGGAACTCATTCTGTAGAGCAGGCTGGACCCAAACTCACAAAGATCTGCCTGACTTTGGTTCCTGAGTGCTGGGATTAAAGGCGTACACCACCACCATCCAGTTTGAAATAAAATCTTAGGGAAAAAAAAAGCCTCTCACTATTGCACAGAAAAATGTAGTTACATGAGTATCCGGTACATTCTGTGCCAAGGCTAAGATAAGTTTATGTATAACTGGACCCAAGACAGTGCCTTCCTACTCTCAAGTGCCCTCAGAACACTTTGTAACCTGCCATTTGCTCTATTTAACCCAAGCTGAGGTGACTGTGACGCTGTGGTTGGGATGGTTTGGAAGGACTCAGAAAAGGTACTCACTCCACACAGTCACCTTCCTAAGACACAAAACAGCTCACCAGCGTCAGCGGCCTTCTGGCACATCACCAAACAGTAAGAAAAAAATGGACAATATAGATTATTTGAAAATAAACGTTTCAATCGTTTCTCAGCTGGCAAGCGAGTTGATAATATTCTAAGACAACAGAGTTTGGGACAAAGGGAGGGAATTCCTGTGACCTGACTTAGCAAGCCAACCAACAAAATGAGTCCATGAATCGGAAGCTGAAATCACTCTTCGCATAATTTATTCTTTACCACAGCTACAATTGCAGTGTCAAACATTGTACTTAATACATATGTATGTATGTATGCCCTTAAGTGTGTGTGCTTGTGTTTGGGAGGCACATGTGTATTTAGGTGCAGATGTGCATGTGTGTGTGTGTGTGTGTGTGTGCATGCGCACACATGTGCTTGATGATGTGTGTATGTAGACCGCAGAATGACCTTGAGCATCGTTCCTCCGCCAACCACCTTTTTAAGTCAGGGACTCTCCCTGGTCTGGGACTCACTGAGCAAGTAGACTAGCTGGTCAGTTTGCCCCAGGGATCTGTGTGTTTCTACTCCCTCAGTGCTGGGGTTACAGCTGCCTTTTAAAACAAACAAACAAACAAACAAACAAACAAACAAACAAGACAGGGGTTCTAGGGATTGAACTCTGAGGCGTCTCCACAGTCCAGCTTGCTCTTAATGTAACAAAATGAAGGTTGATCCTATACGGCTGCATATGTGGGCAGTGAGGTACACAAAACAGAGTTTACTGCCGCACTGTAAACAGTGTCTACCAATGAAGTACAAATTAATATAATCATACAATGCAATTCTAAATGGTCACGAAGAAAATGAGGTAGATCTATATAATATGTTATGAAACAAAATACTTGAACAAAAATCACTAAGTGCCAAATAAGGTGCATTAGTCCGTTCACATCTGTATACTGAAGTGGGGAAGAACATGTACAGGTGCATACACACTCACATGCATGCATTGTTTCCAGCACTTACATCTGGCTAACTGATGCTGGAATTCAAGGTGGTGGGGACGTTTGCTTTTTGGTGTAAATACGTTATTTCCATTTTAGTCATATACATGTATTAATTTTTCATTGCAAAACGTCTTTTGAAAGAAGACTAGAGCAAAGGGGTAGGGAAATAAGAATGAAAGGAAGAGGCGAGAAGCCATAACCCACCCTCAAGGGCAAGGTAGTGACAGGCGTTGCTTCCCGAACGTTAATCAGCAGGTAAGCGCCGAGCACCAACACATCTTTAAAAATCTTGAAAACCTTAAAGTTACCTCAGCTGTGCTGAGACAGCTGTAATTGCCGGGGTTCTGGGAAGGAGAGGGCTCGAGGAGAGAGTTCGCTGACTGTCTCTCCTGCTGCAAGTCTTCCCATACCACTTCCTTCTCCTTTCCAACAGAAGACACGAGTGTTGTCATGACCGACCAGAGCCACACAGAGGACAAATGCACCATGCGTTCGTTCTATTTACACAGTATATCTTACTTTTGAATGGGAAGTGTCATGAGGTCTCGGTCCAAGAAGAGTCTTTGAAGGAAGTCTTGAACTTCTCCGAGGGTTTCGGGGCCCCCCATGTTTAACATTAATATGCCGGTTTTGGGCTTCCTACATAAGGAAAAACAGTTCGTTGGCCACACTTTCATTTGCTCCAGGGCAGATATTTCTTCAGCTGATAAGAACCCACAGGCCCTTTGGTGACATCACAGGGCTGGCTAGCTGCTTGGAGACACAGAGGGCCTCCACTTCTTCACTGACCTGCCTCGGACTCTGACCCTTGCCTCGAGGCTCCAGCCCTGATGTTGGCATTAACTGAACTCAAAACTTCCCTATTATCCTGTCAGTCTTGAACAAAGAGCCAATTCTTCAGGGACAGAGACACAGAAACCTAAAATGATTCAGAGGGCAAAGGATCTGCAAGTGCCGGTGCTTTATGAGTACACAAGGTCAGGCTTTCCACAGATTAAGGTTTCTTTGTATGCTAAAATTAAAGTCCAGTGTTCTTCCTTAAAACACTGTTTGGGGCACCCAGTGCATAAAGCATATACTCAACATAATCTACCACCAAGTAAATTCCGTCACCCGGAGAGTGTTCCCCTTTCAACACTCCAGTGAGTCTACCATTCACTCATCTGCACCCCGTCTCTTCAGTCACACAGGAAGCCATTCTTAACCTAAGCTAAATTATGTCTTAGTACTCTGCTTTCTTTCCCAGCATATGCCACCAGCCCATCTTCAGTGCCCTATCTTAGTGACCCTCCCCCCGACATCTCTTTCATACATGTATTTAATGTGCTTTACTCCCTCACACTCCCACTGAACCTCCTTTTTCTTCCTAAGAAGTCCTGACTTACCGTCATGGGGTTTTAGTTTGTTTGTGACCTACAGAATTCAATCTGGATTCTTTGCATGAGCATGGGTGGGCTATTCACTAGAGATTCAGCACCTCGCTCACCCCTGGCTACACTACTGAAGAAAATGACTCCCTCTGCCCTAGGAACCACTAACTTTAATGGCCAATTACTTTCAGGGAGGGGTGGGCCTCAGGAACCCCTTTACCAACTGTGCTAGAATATTGATGAGCGCAATTTTGAGCTGGTCAATTTGTGTGGATAGGCAATGTGGATGTGAGCTCATGAGTGGAATGGTCATGTCATGCCTGGACAGTCTCACAACATACTTCTCCCTCCTCTCTCATTAACATTATTTCCACCTCCTCCTTCCATTCACTCTTAATAATAATAATAATAAAAAGGCTGAGAAATAACCAGCCCGAAGTTCACCTCAAATACTACTAGGAATGCTTACACCCCCTGCATCAAACCATTTCTTACTAGAGTGACTGATGCTGTACTTGGAGCCCAAAGTAAAGATAAAGTAGGACCACTTTTCACTGTCTTAGGCCAGTGTTTCTCAGCCTCAGCACCACTGGCATTCTGGGTGGAATAATCCTTTACTATAGAGGACTCTCCTACACAATGTAGGGTGTTTGTTAATAGCCCTAGCCTCCACCTACTGGGTGCAGTATTACCTGTTCTGGTTAGGGGTTTTGTTGTTGTTGTTGTTGTTGTTGTTTTGTCAACTTGACCACAAACTAGAGTCACTTGGGAAGAGGGAACCTCACGAGGGAAATTGCCTCTATCACACTGGTCTGTGGGCATGTCTGTGAGACATTTTCTTGATTAATTATTGACGTGGAGTAGTGTGACCACAGGGCAGGTGGTCTCGGAGTATGTAAGTAAGGTAAGCAAACCATGGGGAGCAAGCCAGTAAGCAGCACTCCTCCACGGTCTCTGCTTCAGTTCCTGCCTTGAATTCCTGTCTTGGATTCCCTCGATGTCGGACTGCAACCTGCAAGCCAAATAAACCCTTTCCTCCCCAAGCTGTTTTTGGTCAATGCTTTGTCACAGCGACAGAAACCGAACCAGCATAATTCCTCACCTCAGCTGTGATGACCAAAGATGCCTCCACACCTTAGAGAAAGAAGGTCTAATCCATTTTTACTAAGAGGATTACATCAAGCAATTATACTTAAGATGTTGCAGAACTTTGTGTGTGGATATTCGGTACCTGTGTATGTACACATATGGGGGGTGCATAGACCCAGCAGTGCACGTGGAGAGGCCCGGAGGCTCATGTCTGGTGTCTTCCTCTATTGTTTTCTATTTTATTTTTTGAGACAAGGTCTCTCACTGACCTGGAGCTTATGAATTTAGCTAGACTGGCCGGATAGTGAGCCCTTAGGATTCTCCTGCCCCTGCCCCACCCCCAGCCTTGGGATTACAGACACACAGAGTTGTGTCCAGATTTTATGTGGGTGTAGGGACTTCAACTCATGATTGCTCAGCAGGCCCTTAGCCCAGAACCATCTCCCCAGCCCCTGCAAAACTTTTTCACATAAAAATGCTATAATGACACTAACAGGCCTGTTGACTTTTCGTGCTACCTAAACATGCCAGAGGCAGCACCTGGTGAAACTGCTGTCTCCCTTAATCTCCCTGCTGAGACCACCCATCTTCCCCCAAGTTCTTGTCTTTCGTCCTCAAAAATCTGTGACTCCTAATAAATTAAGTGCATTTTCCCGTGGATTGCTGCCAGTTAGCAGATTACTGGTTAACGAAGCCTAGGCTAAAAGACTTACCTAAGCCACAAAGGGTATCAGTGTGCAAACGGGATTTAGAACTATGCTTTCCATCTATAACACCTGAGCTCAGAACAAGAGTGGCTTTAAAGCGGATGTCACTCGGCCCTGCTCACGTTTTGCAGACCCGTGTTGATTTTATACATGAAAGAGTCGCATATGATTTGAAAATGCCCCAACACACGTTAACGCTTAATTCCAAACTGTGTTGTGCATGATGAGTGCTGCATTAGTCTGCCTCTGCTGTGTTCCCAGTACAAAGTGCGGAGCTTTAATCAAGGGTCTCTGTCTCTCTTCCCCTTCAGACAGACCACACCTGAGACCAAGGTCTCACTGGCCAAGCCTCTCTTTGTTTGAACATCAAAGTAGGCACAGCAACATGTATTTTAAAACCTACTTGGAAAAGTTTAAACACTTTGCATTTGTTATATTCTGGGACTTTTAAAGCACAAAGCTTTTCCTTTGAAATGTGCATAATAGGAACTAAAACTCATCAGTTAGCAAACAGTCACTTTATTCTGTGGCATCTAGACAGCGCTGATGAAAAGAAATAAAAATCTCAGTTCTTCATTAAACCTACAAGATATCAGTGACCCAAAGATCTATGCTACTTCTAGAACAAAAGACAGTAAAAAACAGAATCTGCACCAAATTTACACACACATACACACAAATACACAAACACACACACACACACACACACACACACACACACACACACACACACACACACACAACAGACACAGTCGGAACACAGCTCCACTCTTGGGTTTGTCTTATCTATGGCTGCCTTGACATTGCAGCAGCAAAGGTAAAGAGCAGCAAAGGAGATGTTGTGGCCTAAGAAAACTAAAACTAAAATAAACTAAGAAGCAAACTCCTGAAAAAAGCCTGTGGACTCCTAAGCTAGCCTAGCAGCTGGCCTAGCACTGTAGCCTAGCTCAAGCCAAGCACTACGCCACACCACGTCTTTCAAGACCTTGGCATCAGAATGGTCCCCCAGGATGCTCCTTACTTTAGCATCTCAAATATCCCAAACTAGACCTAACCGATGCCTGGAATGTAGGCTTAGATAAATAAATTGTGATTTACTAAACTACTCTTAAACTCTTTGAGATTGACTGTCAACTTGATAGTCCATAAAATCAGCCAGTAGGCAAACCTTTAGTACGCCTGTGAGGGGATTTTTGGGCTGAGTTAAGTGAGGTGCAAAGATCCACCTTAACTATGGGGGCACCATTCCACGCATCCCAGAGTGAATGAAAAGGAGAAAGTAAAGTGAGCATCAGCATTTATCTCTCTCTGCTTCCAGAGTGCAGATTAAAATGTGACCAGTCACCTCACACTCCTGCCACCATGATGGACTGTACCCTCAAACTATGTGCAAAAATAAAACCTTCTTTATGTTGATTTTATAAGGTATTTTGTCACAGCAACAAGAAAAACAACTAAAACAACATAGAAAATATTTATAAATACATGGTGACAGTAGAAAAATGTAAAATAATATGCATTGTACTGTTTACATGTCAGTAAGTACATACGAGTGGATAATAAAATACTAGATGCTACGATTACTATGACTTTTAAATCCTTCCACCTGAATGTTCTAGTGTTTTATATAAATATTATATAAAGTTACTTAATAGAACCTAAGACATACTTTTATTTAATTGTTAACAATTAATGTAATATTAAGGGCATTTATATTATTGACTTTTGTCACCGCAAAATATAGGAATTGTGGTGGTTTGAAAGAAAATGTCAGCTAAAGGGAGTGGCACTATTAGGAGGTGTGGTTTAGTTGGAGTAGGTGTGGTCTTGTTGAAGGAAGTGCATCACTGGAGGGGTGTCATATATGTTCAAGCCATGCCCAGTGTCTCAGACCACTTCCTGTTGCCTGCAAGCCAAGATGCAGGACACTCAGCTACTTCTCCAGCACCATGTCTGCCTGCACGCCACCTTGTTGCACCATGATGATAATGGACTAAACCACTGAAAATGTAAGCCACCTCAATTAGATGTTTTTCCTTTATAAGAGTTGCTGTGGTCATGGTGTCTTTTTATCACAATAGAGACCCTAAGACAGCAATGAAATATTTTTTCTTCCAGGTTCCTCAGTTCTTCCGCTCACATTAATACTTTTTCCAAGTCTTAAGGAACCACAGAGTACATAAGGTCCCATGTCCTACCTGACATGCCACCAGCTCGAGATGCCTGTGCTTCCTAGCCTAACCACTAACTACGTCTTCAAGGAAGACAGAGCTGAGAGGAAGGGATTTGGAACCCATCCTTAATGCCATATCCTAAATCAACCTCCGTTTCTTAGCCTTCAATCAATAAAATATCACAATCACAATGAAAAATATCAAACACAAAATGAAAACATATCATTTACATGGTGACTGTTCATGGTGGTTTGAGAATGCCCCCCATAATCTGGGGCATTTGAATACGTGGTCCCTAAGTGGTGGCACTGTTTGAATAGGTTTAGCAGGTGTGGCTTTGCTGGAGGAAGTGTGTCACTGGAGTTGGGCTTCAAGGTTCAAAGACTCACACCACTCCCAGTCTGTTCTCTCTACTTCCTGCTTGTAGTTTCAGGTGTGAGCTCTCTGATGCTGCTCCAGCTGCCATGCCTTTGCGACCCTCTGGAACTGTAAGCCCAAGCAAACTCATCTTTGTGTTGTGTTTTATCACAGCAATAGGAAAGTCACTAACACACTGTACAACTCTAGAATGCTGTCTTGTCTGGCAGGAAAGTCATGATGTCACTTAGTCACAGCTACTTTCCTGTATAAAACCTGTTCCTCTGTATGCCCTGAGGGAGTCTGTGGCTTCTGTTGCTGAAGAGAACACTCAGTTACACAATGGCTACCGCCTCTACCCATAAATACCAAGAGTGAAGTACACTCTGTTTCCTTAATAAAGTATAAACCATAGCACGTCATTGGTAATGGTGTTCTTTATGTTAAAAACTAAAAGTAATAATGGTAGAATCTCCCAGAGAAGTTCTTGGTAGGTTAACTACTTTTTATCCTATACAAGGTACACATTTTACAGGTGTAAATATGTCCAGTTCATACACAGATTTTTAGTATGCACACACTTGATTTCATATATGACATATACTAGGGCCACATCCCTTCACGACAGAAGACTATATTTAACTATATGTCCTTTGTTGGTCCTTAAAACCTATTATTTCATAGCTGTTAAAAGGAAATCAAGAAAATAACATCCCTTTGCTAATAAATACATTACATTTTTCCGGTCCCTCTCCCCCTAGGTTGCTTGAACCCACTTGTATTTATCACAACAGAAAACGAGAAGAAAGCCTTATTTGAGCCTAGAGTTACCTCCTTTCTGGTTGAGCTTGAGGTGTTGCAGTTTTGACTTGACGCGCTTTCTCTGTGGTGGCTGCCGCTGCACCCGACTGGCACCTCCATGGCTGACAGACCCTCGAGCCGCCATGCACCACTGTGACAAAATTAAAGTGCTGGCATGAAATCTAGCTGGAAAGTAATTTCTTTTCAAGAGGTCCTCAGGGCATAATTCCTGGCTTTAAATTTTAAAAAGGTGCAATGGCAGGGGTGATTTTCCCAGCATCTCTGCAGGCAGGTAGAAGCACCGAGCACTCCTTTCTCTAGTGGGCCGGGGTGCAGGTTCCCTCCTCCAGGGTAGCTTTATCTTTTCAGAAGCCACACACACCTTCTCACTCTGCCCTGGCTGCAAATTTTGCTCAGATCTCATCCCTAGAACCTCTGCACACTCAGAATATTTCCAACCATGGGGCAGTGCTCAGGAGAGGTGAGGGCATCATAGGGAAGGTGAAGAACTAATTTAGGGTCATTTAGAGTGGAAACTGAGCCAGTCCCCAACTGTGGATCTAATTTCTGGTCTGCAAGTCTTCTGGGTAAAGCATCAGTGACGGGAATCCCAGAATTGTCCTGTGCTCTGACAATGAGAAGGGGGCACACTCTCTTCTGCAGGAATGCACCCACGAGGTGTAGAGTCCCTCAGAGTCCAGTACTCCACATGACAGACCAGGTTCCCAGGGCCCAGAGCTCAAGAATTCCCTCTCCTGTAAGCTAATCCCAGAGTCTATATAGGCTCCTTCCCTGCATCTATCCTCTGGAGGGCAGATGTTGCCATCCATATAAGCAGTTCGTGACCTTCAGGGTGGTCAAGGGGTAGTAGGAAAGAGCTGGTGGGAAGAGAAGCAAGAAAGCTTACGGGTCAACATTCTCCAGGCCTCTTTCCTGCAGGGGTTTAAGAGTTCAAGACTCCATCCTTCCCACAGTAAAATTAAATTGAAACCACATGTTAGTACTGAGGAAGATAATAAGGAACAGTGGTAGCTCCTGTGTGGCCTCCTTCTCCTAATACCAGGTTAGAAACTCATCTGGGACCAATCCTCTTCTGCCTGTATTCTCTTCTAAGTGGCCGGACGAGGGCAAAGTTCAGGCTGGATCACCTACGTGGGACCGAGGGCAAAGTTCAGGCTGGATCACCTACGTCGGACCCATTTCAGCTCTCCACTTCTCACAGTGTGACCTGGGGACCTGGGGTCAGACTACAACCTCATAGAGCCTCAGTTCCCCTCTGTAATATGACGAGTCCTTGCTGGTCAACTCAGAGGGTTGAAACATCAAGAGAAGCCCTCTGCAGCATCTGCCATGTGACAGGGGCTAATATAATGTCAGTATAATAGTTTCATTTGTAAGTTTCTAGAGAAAGCAACTACATCTGCTCTAACTTTCTTTAAATCACCCAAATGGGAACAAAAGAAAAGAGAATGGCATCCCCAGGTCGCCTAGATTTCTTTCTATCCAGATTGTACACACTGGTGCATGTCTGTGACCACAGCACTCAGAGCTGAGGCAGGAGGATCTTTAGTTTGAGACCAGCTGGGGTTTGAGCCAGACCTCGCCTCAAAACCAATAAATAAAAGCAGACCTCGAACTTCCCCAGCAGAGCCCACTCCATGAGCTTACGCTGGGGAAGCCTTACTAAATCAAGGCAGAGTGGAAAGATTGATGTAATAAGTTCAATTTCACTCAAATGAAGTCTCAAAACAACACACACCCCCTTGTTTCACACAAGTTTAATTATGAGCTACATGATGAGATTTAACCAGGTATTCAATCATGTGCAATGTCTCCAAGTCCCTGTACGAATGAGATTCCACCAGATCCTATGGGATATGACTATAGAATTCTAGCTGATGGTCATAAATAAGATTCCTTTCTGTGAACCTAACAAAAGGAAGAAGGGGTAGGACCAGATCCCCCAGCTAGTACATTACGGTTTCCTAGTACAATTTCCAAGCTTCCTGGCTTTTGTCGTGCCCTGGCTTACAAAATTCTTGTCTCCTGTTGAACCAAATTTTGGTCCTGAAGAGGGATCCTTCCTACTGTGACTTAGGATTAACATACCCATCAAGGACATCTCTAAAACGTCCCTCTCTGGCTACTGGGCTATTAGAGATATGGAAGGGCAGGAGGGGCAGGTGGCCAGAGAAGATATCAGGGGAGGTGAGTATGCTCAAAGTGTGATACGCTTGTATGAACATGTCACAGAACAACCCACACAAACTGTACAAATGACATATACTAACTAGAATTAAATAGGTCCTGCACTACCTTAGACACAGGGACTGTGGGAATATGGGGACTTGCTTCCCAGATTTGGCCTGTTATTCTGATTTCTGTTGTTCCAAAAAATTCTAACAAGGAATAGGAAAAGGACTGACACCATCCATCATCCAACACTGTCCTGTAAGTCCACGTCAGGAGAACTTACAAAACCAATGTAATTTCTGAACCATTAAAAATGACAAGATATTGGGGCTGGAGAACTCAGGGTTTAAGAGCACTGGCTGCCCTTGCAGAGGACCCAAGTTCAGTTCCCAGCACCTACATCTGGTATCTTAAGAACACCCGTACCCCAGTTCCAGATTTCACGCCTGGGGTACCTGCATTCACATGCACATATTCCCATAGAGACTCACACAAACATACACACATTTTTTTTTTAATCTTAAAAAAAAATAGAAATTTTACTTTGAGGATATCATGAAAAAAATTTCCATGCATCAAATTAATGCAAGGCTGCTGTTACATATATTGCATAAGAGAAGCAGAAGACATTATGGATTTGTATCTGTATCTTAAACACACAGAAAAAAAATTAAAGATGGGGAGTTGGAGAGATGGCTCAGTGGTTGGCACACTTGCCGCTCTTGCACTCATTAGGTAGTTTGGTTCCTAGCACTTATTAGGTAGCTCATAAACAACTGTACTTCAGCTCCAAGGGGATCTGACCCCTCTGGACTCTGCAGGAATATGTAGTCATATTCACATACCCACACACAGACACATTATTAAAAATAAAAATAATTTTTTAAAAAGATGGAATAGAACAGAAAAGCACTGAATACATAACTATAATTCTACATATTGCAAAATATACAAGGCAAAATAAAAAGTGATTACATGAAAGATAAAAGTTTAACTTCTGCATAAAATCTTAAAAACACAAATTACAAAACCAAAAAAGAAAGTGTGCATAGACATAATAGAATTCTTGAATAAGAAAATACAGAACTGTGTGTGTGTGTGTGTGTGTGTGTGTGTGTGTGTGTGTGTGTGTTGCAGTATATGACATATTAGAGGAAGCATCTTACTACTTCTAAATGAGTAAAAAAAAAAAAAAATATAAAACAGCTTTTTCCAGTTTAATTTCCAGAATTCAACTGCAGAAAATACTCAGTTTTCTCTTAGCTAATAATATTAATCTTTCCCTGTCCACCCAAACGATAAAAGTACTATATAATACCACCTTAAAAACTGGAGTGTGAGAAACTCATCACTAGTCAAAGCGCCAAGACTGAAGTGCTCAGCCACAAACGGTCATATCACAGCCCCTGTCCACAAGAGGCTGAGGGAACACAGCCGAAGAGGAAGCAGGAAGACTGGAAGAGCCAGACACTGTGGAGGACCAGAGCGGAACATTGTATTCTGGACGTACAAGACTTGCACAAGATCAAGTCAGTCAATGTCCCCTCATGCCGTGGGGAGGGGCTCCTGAGCCCTCAGCCCTAGCTAAGGAGCTATTATCAATTGAGGGCTTCTGGAGAGGGAAGAGTTAGGTTCTTTTTAAAGGCATGGCCCCTGATAGGTTGACCATGCTCTAGGGCATTGGTCACAACCCCCTGGGGGGTCAAAAGGCCCTTACACGGGGGTCACTTAAGATCATTGGAAAACACAGATATTTACATTGCAATTCATAACAGTAGCAAAATTACAGTTATAAAGTAGCAATAAAAATAATTTTATGGTTGGGGGTCACCACCACAACATGAGGAACTGTATTAAAGGGTCTCAGCATTAGGAAGGTTGAGAACTACTACTCTAGTGGGTGACTCCATACCCATGGGTGTATGGGCAGCATAAATTAGATTTACCAGTTAAGAGAGAGAGAAGAGAGAAGAGAGAAGAGAGAAGAGAGAAGAGAGAAGAGAGAAGAAGAGAGAGAGAGAGAGAGAGAGAGAGAGAGAGACAGAGACAGAGAGACAGAGAGACAGAGAGAAGAGGAGCAGGAAGCTGAGAGGGGGTGAGTAGTGGGCATGAATCTGGAAGGAGTTAGGGAAAAGAGTTGAGGGTGAATATGATCAAAATACACTGTATGCATATATGAAATTCTCAAGGGATAAAAAAAGTACTTTTTCAAAGCATTGGAGCCTGTAACATAGTTGGAATTGAGATATATTGTGGCTTCTGAATCCTTTCACTTAGTTACTTCTGACTTACACAGAAAATAATTTCAGTTCTCATACTGTTTCATGACCTCCAATCTTGGGTCTGTTAGACTTTATTTGCCACTGGAAAGGATGGTGAAAGAAAAGATGAATAGGTACTTCCTTTACTGGCACTGTCCTTATCTTTAAAGATAACACCTTTTGTTTCCCAGTGTCTTTCGGGAGCTGATCTTCAGTGTACCGTATTTGTCTTGTAACAAAGGCACTCGCAATATCCACCCGAAGTAGGTGCCACACTGACAGATTAGGAAACTCCTTTGAAATAGGTCAGGTCTAGTCACCATTCAAATTCATGAGCGCCTCATTTGGGGTAGTCTACTACATCTGTAACTGAGAGGCTCTACGATGCCTACTTCACCTGCGTCCTAATCTTCACAGCAAATATTAGCGAGTTTGGTGAGGTTGGGACCCTGGCTCAAAGTGTCCTTGCTCAATTCGGTCCAACCAGGTGTGTCCTACCCAGGGCCCCAACAGCTCATCTAGCGGGCACACCCTACATTAATGAGGTGTATCAGCAACACTTGAGATCTCGTTCGTTCCCTAAATATCCCACGAAAACTCTAATCCGGGCCTCCCCAGGGTGGGTCCTTCTACCCAGAAGCCATGGCATTGGCCTGGGCGGAGCAGCAGTGGGCACCGTGATCGCCACCAGCAAGAGAGTAAACTGCAAGGCAGACAGATGCCAGCAGTGATGGTGACAACGACACCCGAGTCTCTAGGTGTCGGGTCCTTCAGAGACCTTCCCTCCCGTAATCACTAAGTCTAGCTACTGCTCGAGCCCCCCCCAGCTGGCCCCTTGAGACTCGAACCCGCGGCCTCCCGGCCGCTCCAAGCGCTCGAGATCGCAGACGCAACCCCACTTACGCGGCTCGCGGAGCAGCGCGCCCGCAGCCCGCAGGGCCGCAGCCATGTTGGCGCCGGCCGAGAGCATTTCCGGGACGGCCAGGGATCCTCTGCGGCGGCGCGACAGCCAGGCCGGGGAGCGCCCACGAGGCAGCGCTCCGCACCCGCGCCCCGCGCATTCCCCGGCCGGCGGGGGCGGGGCCGGCGGGAGGCCCGCCCTGGGGGTGTGGTCGGGGGCGGGGCCTGTAGGCCCGAGTGGCCAGATGCTGCTGGCTGGACCGGCCGAGATAAGGCCAGTGACTGGGAGATCGGCTCCTGCCACCACGGGTCAGCGCACCTGAGGCCCGCTAGGTCTGCGGCGCTGGAGGGCCCTCCGGTCGGATCTGACAACCTGGTCGAAACTGGAACGACAGCCCATGACTCAGCAAAAGACTTTCTGGACGTGTCCATACTGTCCTTAGATGTGCCCATGGTTCCCAGTTTGGTTGCTTTACGACAGTGCAGACCCTTTCCGACTTGTTCCAGAGCAAAAAGAGGGTGTGGGCGTGGGCGTGTGTGTAGCACCTCTTTGTAGCAGATGAAGACAAAGAAGCTATATGTAGCACGAATCTTAAAAGGTTTTATTAATAAAAACAAACCCAGGGCCAGGTATTGGGGTGAACGCTGAAAGATCAGAGAAGCAGAACAAGCCACAGCTACCTCGCCTTGCCAGTTCCTCAGCTGATTCTGTTTTCTCAAACTGGAAGCCTCTGAGTCCTCATCCAAATGGGTCTCAGCTGAACTGCTGCTCAAAAGCCTAAAAGCTTAACCAGCTCTAGTTCCCGGTCCTCACGCCTTATACACCTTTCTGCTTTCTGCCACCACTTCCTGGGATTAAAGGCATGAGTCACCATGCCTGGCTGTTTCCAGTGTGGCTTTGAACTCACAGAGATCCAGATGGATCTCTGCCTCACAAGTGATAGGATTAAAGGCGTGTGTGCCACCATTTTCTGGCCTCTATGTTTGTCTAGTGGCTGTTCTGTTCTCTGACCCCAGATAAGTTTATTAGGCTGTATAATATATTGGGGGACACAATATATCACCATAGCTATAGAGCAATATTGCTGGTGTGAGGGCATTAGGAAGGGGGGAGGTCAGGAAGGCAGATGCAGGTGTGAGGGCTTTAGGAACGGGGGAGGTCAGGAAGGCAGATGCAGACTGGATTAAGAAGGGGCTGAAAATAAGCAGAACAGAGCATTTTGAAAGACTCAGCGTGCACTAAGAAGAGAGAACGGTAGGGTAAGGCTGATGGAAGAAGTCCTCCTGGAGGCTTGGGGTCAGGATGGGAGGGAGGGAAGGAGGAAGGCAGGAGTCCAGATAAACCTGACTTCTAGTTTTCTGTGGCTAAAATCCGAGTTCTTGGCTTTATTAGTTTATTGTGTTTACGAGACAGATGTAAAATGTACATGTATAACAATTCATGTAACTGACAGGGACTTCAAACTCAAGCATGCTCCCTGAGAAAAGAATAGTAAAACTTGTTCTAAACCACCTCCCTGTCCATTCCCCACCCCCACCCGAACCCCCCCAACCCCCACCCCACGCTGAGGACTGAGGACTGAGCCCAGGGTCTCACACATGAGCATGTGGCCTGCCTCTTTTTACATCTCATTTTGAGGCAGGGCTTTATAAGTTGCCAGGGCAGGCCTTGAACTTGCCATCCTCCTGCCTCAGCCTCCCCAGTGGCTGAGATTGCGACACTGAGCCATCAGGCCAAGTCATCTGCCAATTCTTGACTTCGATCTTGACTTCGACGTCAACATGGTATTAGAAACTGCCCTGCAGAGAGACTGGGAGAAACTTAGGGGATAGAAGCAGATAAAGCAGAGACTGGTTTCTCGTGGGGGCTACCTCCTTTCTCGTGAGAAGGTGGAGGTGAGGGAAAATGCCTGAGCAGGGACAAACATCTGGACAAAATGATAACAGAGATGGGAGGACCCAGGACTCTTATAAAATGCCTGCATCGATCCTAACCCCAGACTACCCATTACAAGATGACTTTTATGGATAGCAGTGCTGCCCATCTAAAGCTGGAACTTCTCTAAAGTTCATTTAGAAAATGAACTACAGAGGCTCCACAACACACTTAGAAATGCTGTGCTAGATGATGTAGAGATGGGGTCACAGGTCTACAATGTCTTTTCTGTCACCTCTGGGAAGCCAGCCTGGGTGCTGAGCACTCCTGCTAAGTGGAGATAACAGGGGTTGCTTGGCCTCTCCCAGAAACATGGTGATGATTAGTGATGAGGCAAAATTCCGCCAATCCTCATCAAATCTGCAGCTGAGACAGGCTAAACATATGTGTGACCAGAAAGCAGAAAAGAACAAACAAAATGCTTTATTCTAGACAATGTCATTTCAAAAATTGAATGAGCATCATTCCTTTCATTTTGTTTACAAACTCTGAAAAAACTCACTCAAAATTCTCTGTGTATAAAGCTCCTTGATGCACATACTGTGGATTCATGGGTTTAAAAAAGAAGGCAAAACTTGGGCTGGTGAGAAGCTAGTTCAGCAGGTCCGGTGCTTCCTATGCAAGCCCAACCACCTCCAGTTTCTGGAATCCATGACAGAAGGGAAGCACCAATTCATGAAAGCTGTCCTCTGACCTCCACACATGTACCATAGCAGGAATGAGTGGGAACACACACACACACACACACACACACACACACACACACACACTAAAATTAGAAAACAAGCAACACTTTGTGGTTTTGAGTTGTTCTTCTAATTTGTGTCTAGGCAGGCCCTGAACTCTCGAACCTGTCACCTTCCTGCCTCAGCATCCCTGGTAGCTGGAATTATAGGACTGAGTCACCAGGCTAAGCCCTTTTGCTAATTCTTGACTCTGATAACAAACATATTATTTGAGGTTGCCCTTACATCAAATACAACAGCTTTCCAATGAGTGTTTATTATTATGAAATAAAAACAGATAAAATGTACTTCATGTGAACTCTATTTAAAATCGTGTGGTGGTGGCGCATGCCTTTAATCCCAGCACTGGAAAGGCAGAGGTAGGTGGACCTCTGAGTTCAAGGTCAGTCTGGTCCACAGAGCAATTTCCAGGACAGCTAGAGCTGATAGAAAAAAAAAAAAATAGGTGTATTTTGCTTTTTTATTATCTTGAGACTGTCTCCTGCAGCCCACAATGGCTCTGAGCTTACTATGTAGCTGAGATAATCCTGAATTCATTGATCCTCCTGCCTCCACCATTTAAGCACTGGCATATACCACCATACCTGGCTTCAAAAAGTTCCTCCTGAGCATCGTGCACATGCCTTTAATCCCAGCACTCAGAGACAGACAGATCTTTGTGAGTTTAAGGCCAGCCAGGTATACATAGTGATTCCAGGACAGCCAGGGCTATATAGAGAGATCCTGTCTCCAGAAACTAAAAACAAACAAAAAATATAGTTCTTAGATCAGAAGTTGTGAACTCTGAATTCAGGGTTAAAGAAAATTTAAAAAAGCACTCGAAAGGTTAAAGAAATAGGAGATTTACATATATTTGCATATATACATAAATGCTTCTCCTTTCCCATGAGATTTACATATATTTACCTGTTTTTGTGTGTGTGTGTGTGTGTGTGTGTGTGTGTGTGTGTGTGTGTATGCGTATATGCTTCCCCTCTCCCCCAGCTTGTTTTAAGCAAAATTCTATACCAATTCCATTAGCAAACAGAAGGCTGAAAGACACAGGCTTCGTGTTGACCGAGATAAGCAGCACTCGCCACAAGGGAGAAGATTTGTCTGAGCCCCTGCGACTTAATTAGTGGATAAAGCACTTGCCTGTCACAGACAACACTCTGGAGTTCAGCCTGTAGTTCTAAATAAAATGAATTTGTTGGTTTCAGCCCAGCGCTTCAGGGAAGGGGAGACTACCCTAATTCATTATTTGCAGTGATTGGCACCTCTGAGCTACACAAACTAAATTTAGATTACTCGACTTGGTCTCTTTAATCGGAAGAAGACTGGGGGAAGGGATTCCGTGCAAGAGAAACAGTGGTTCCCACGTGACAAATGGCAAGCTCAGCATCATCACTCAGGGAAATCTGAGCCGTTGTCCTCACAATTAAGACCGAAGCCACCGAACCCAGACCCAAACACAGCACGCTTTGACTAAACCGTCTTTACAAGACCACAAGGAGTCTGGAGCCCACTAGTGAGTGCTCACACTTGCTGAGTGTGTCCACAGTGAGAACAGTGCTGCCCCAGGTAATGTGGAGGGAGGATAAAAGTGTGAAAAAGTTCTAAAGGAACTTGTACTTGCATGTAGCTCAATTTATGAGACAAGCATGAAGGCAGGGCGAGAGTCAGACACCGTACATAATCGGTACCCATATGGAACGTTCTAGAAGGTCACTTGGGCAACTGTCTACAACAAAGACAAAGTTATACAACATGAAGCCAGGTGTGGCTAGGGGCCAGGGAGGAAAGCAGAGAAGGCAGAACGCAGAGGTGCTGGCACTGCTGCTTCCTGGAGCACAGGCAGACACGAATTCTGCGAAGGTGAAACTGGGGCAAGAAGAACTCTACAAGTGAAACCCGAGCAGGGGTCCCGGAGCTTGCACGAGCAAGGATGGGGACCCGTCTGAAGCCTCGATCCGTTTCCTTTGTCACTGTGACAAAGTCTCAAAATTTTGCTATTTTTTTTTTCCAACTCTGAAATTTAGAAACCTTTCACTAAGCTGTCAACAGGGCCGCATGCCCCCTGACCTATCTTGGTCTCTCCCCCTCTTCTGGTAGTGACTGGCAGGGCTCTGAATACCTGTTATACTGGAACCGACTACCTCCAAGTTCAATTGTGAGTACACAGGTAAAGACCCCATTTGCAAATAAATACACACATGCAGGACCTAGGAGTTAAGACATCACCTTCTTTTAGGGGGCACGAGGGACTGGTGAGGTCACATGACCTGAGCAGAGTGAGACTGGAGGCGAGGTGAAACCAAGGCTCCTTGATGTAAGAGGCCTTTGCAGGTGATGAAGGATCTCTAACACGGCCTTCTGAATGGTCTCCCCGTCACACTGCGATACACACTTGAGTTCCTAAACGTTCCTTTTCCCAGTAACACAGACAAAATGGGAGCACCTGGACCAAGCACTAAGACACATACCACAAGCCAGGTGGCGGCGGCGGCGG